CTATGCTTTGTCTCCTTATTAAATAAAATTCATGATTTCAAAATCAGTAAAATGAGCAATTAAATAGGTAGTTCGCCATTGGCTTGCCTAACGGGGACGTTGGGCGCCATTAGAGTCTATTATAGGAACTCGGTCGTGACAATAAAAATGTAAGTCGGGGTTCCGATATTCTCAGTCAGCCATTTTGGTCTTTTGTTCAAATTTACATTCGTTGGTTTTGATTTTCTTTTTGGGGTGTGCAATGGCTGGTGGTTATGGTGGTGATTGTGCGATAGAGGATGTGTGAAAATGAGGAAACATGAATATTTGAGGCAGTGTATATCTGTGTTATCACCGCGTATTTCTACGTATTCTACCTATATATATATGTGTGTGTAATATACACACATGATTTACACGTTTATATATATATATATATATATATATATATATATTTGTGTGTGTGTGTAATATACATATATGATTTACAAACGTGATATACATTATCGTAGTGATAATTTTCAGGCAATTTCAACTCAGAATTTTAAATACAAATCAATCCAAAATCTTTCTCAAATTTTATATATAATCTCATCCAAATGTGATGTTCGGCCAAAAATACATATATTTACTTATTGTTGCCTCATATTCTAGTACTTTTAATCATTTTTTGAGCGTTAATTATATTACTTTATGCTTATATTATATTTTAACTGTGTAGGAATAAAACGGTTTGAAGATGAAAAAATTTGGAACAAAATTAAATAAAACACGAAAGAAAAAGAAAGGAAAATAAAATAATTAAAAAGGAGGGAGACACCCTTTGGTGTTTGTCCCCAAAATGGAAGACAAAAGAAAATGAAACAAGAATTCAAAGCAAACCAAAGACTTCAAGGCAAAATCGTTACTGTTTTCTGCGCCAAAGGCCTGCGCTAGGCCCTTAGTCTGGATGCTGGAGTCGGGGGTTTTCCTATTTCGCTTGGGACAATATTATTTCGGTCCTATACGGATCCAATTCGTATAAAAGGGGTTCTAAACTTATTTTGGAGGAGGAAGATGTTTTTGGATTAACTTTTGACCTAGGGAGAGCACGGAGCTGACGTAGAGGCCGAGTTTCATCTTTCTTCCACCAAACTTAGTAATTCTTATATTTGTTTAAATAATTTGTTATTTGGCTACCATATCTATGTAGAGCTAAACTTCACGTTCTAGGGTTGTGGTTCGTTCATGACCATTGTTATTCAAATATGATTGTGAGTTCTTAGTTTATCATTTTGGTTTATTTATTCACTCTTGCGCTTAATTATTTGATTGCTTAATCACCAATTGAATATTATCTATTAATCTAGAATTGAACTTAAAATTGGGAATTCTAGATTGTACATAGGATTGAGTAGAGCATGTTCTTGAACCTGGGCATCGGGGAGTGGATTCGCGATTAGGATAGACATATACCTAATTGCCTTGCTTGGTTGATGTACATGAATTATAGATGCATTCTTGTTAATTATAATTCCATAGACATATAGGCATTATGTTAGCTTGAATAGGTGAGTAAGAACTTGACAGATTCTTATGAGCGGTATTAACTCTGTCAACCAATAAGCTAGATAAATTAGTTAGTCAATTTAACTGGAGAATATAATAGGAATAGGAAAATTTTCGTTCCTATGCCATATAGGAAACTATATTACCAAATATGTTCATAGTTTGCATATTACTGATAGTAGGCGATATAGTTAATATTTACACCTTAATATGACCATACATTTTTGTTGTTTTATAGATAAATTGCCAACAAAATGCTCTAAATAGTGTTCTTTTGTTTAGCAGGGAATATTATATGAGAGGAAGCAACATGGAGTGTTTTGGAGGCGATAATGTGAAGAAAAACACCCACTCGAGAAGTACTCGAACACAAAGAAGCATAAATGGCCTGGGCAAAAAGGCTATCGCGACCGCGGTGAACCGCGGCAGGTTACTGAAGTGAGGCAGAAAGGTCAGCTTTCACCGCGGTCGACCGCGGTTGGCCGCGACCGCGGTTGGCCGCGACCGCGGTTCACTGTTCATGCAGCTGGAAGTTTAAGGACCAAAGTGTAATTTCGGGGAAACTTTTGTAAAACCCTTATAAGCTTTAGAAACTCGCCCAACTGAGGGGGGAAGCAAATTTTAGACTATTTTTGGGAGGAAGAACAAGTGTGAGATGATCAACAAAACATTAGAGTTTTTCTATCTCCTTTTAATTCTTGCAATTTTACATTATGAACAATTTAGTAGTTTTATCTTGTTTTGTTATGAGTAGCTAAATACTTATCTAAGGTTGATGGAACCAATTGTTGGTTGAAGTATTGACTCAAGTTGTTATAATCGAGCCAGATTTATGATATGATTGTTCAACTACGTTTTGTACGGTGATGAATTGAATGGGCCCTTGATTAATCGTGTCTAATTACCTTATATTGCTTAAGAAAGAGTATTAGGTTAGACGGCGGTTGAACAACACCACTTTTGGTAATTGAAGAGATTCATTACTTGAACTTAAAAGTAGGTTTAGAGATAACAAAACTTTGGTGGGATACTTTAGAGTTGCATAACTATTTTCAGCTAGAGTAGTTCGAGAGAATGCTCTAGTAAATTATTGTAGTTGATCGAGAGATAATTACGATAACCCATAGATCTTAATCCTCATAGAGTATTATGGCGAGATTATAGCGGAAGAGTCAGGACCTAAACTAGCAATTAGGGAAATCACTGCCCTAGACCTTTTTACCATTGAATTATCTTTGTTTTAGCTTACCGTTGTTTTTAATAGTAGTCGAAGTAGTTAAACAAAAACCCAATCGTTATTGATCAAAAATCTTGCATCTAGAGATTGATTGAGTTGATAATAACATTGCCGAAGAGGGTAATAGATAGGTTAGTTCGCTAAGGATTCGATTTCGGACTTAAAAACCGGATTATATTTGCGGCGACCACTTTGTTCTTTAAAAGGCATAGTTGGGCGTTATCAAATTTTTGCACCGTTGCCGGGGAGCTAACGGTGTTATTTATTACAACTTAAAAGTAGTGTTAAAAGTATTAGTTCAAATCAAATTTCAAAGGTGTTAAACAGTTTTCATTAAAATTCTAACATTTGAACTCTTGTGGAATTCAGATGTATGCCTAGAATTCTTTGAGGACTGGAGAACTGCTGGAAGGACTTTCAGACCCCGAGAAAACATTTAGGGCATTGAACTGTGCCAATAGGAGGATCCAACAAACAAAACAACCACACCAGCTTGAATTTGACATGGGTGACGTAGAGAACATCAACGGAAACATCAGGGATGAGCCAGCTGACCCAAACGTTAGAGTGGTGGTACCTCTTGTGCCAGAAGCTGCATTTTATAATTGGGCTCAACCCACACCTGACAACCTGGCAACTGTCATAGCTGTGCCCGTAATTCAAGCGGAGACATTCCAGATCACCAACAACATGCTGCATCTGCTTCAAAATATGGGATTGTTCTCCGGGTCACACATTGAAGACCCTCAGCAACATTTGAAAAATTTTCTGTCAATTTATGTGACTCAAAGGCAGCCAAATGTGAACTCATAAGCTATCAAGCTATTACTGTTCCCGTTCTCTGTGACTGGGGAAGCTCAGATTTGGCTGAATTCGCTCCCAATCAATTCCATTGTCACCTGGAAGTAATTAGTAAAGCAGTTCCTGAATAAGTTCTACCCTCCCAACAAGACTGCAAGGCAGATTGATGAAATATTGTAGTACAAGCAACAGCCGACTGAGACCTTGCAAGAAACTTGGGAAAGATTTAAAGGGATGCTGGTGAAGTGTCCTCACCATGGCATTCAAGACCAGATGCTTGGCCAGAGATTCTACATGGGGTTAGCTAACAATCTAAAGGCCAATGTGGATGCTTCAGCTGGAGGTGCATTTTTGAGTAAGACATTCACCGAGTGCAAAGTCCTTCTTGACAAGATGTCCTAGAATTCGGAGTGGATGACTAGAGGTACAACCCTGGCACCCATAGTGCATTCAGTTCCTCTTGACCCAAATAATTCACATGCAGAGAACATGGCCACACTCATGACTCAGATGAGTATTTTAACAAAGAAGATAGATGAGATAGGTACCAAACAGGTGCATATTGTTGACATGACAAATGAAGGACTGTGTACACCCTGTGTTAATCAGTCTTATGTGTGTTCACGGAGCGGAAAAGGTGAAAATCAAGGGGCAAGGGAAGATATGAATTATGTTAACAACTTTGGGGGGGCAAAGACAAGGAGGACAACAGTGGAGACCTACACCAAATCAGCAATACAGACCTAACATGCCTCAGCCTGGGGGCATGGAAGTTCAAGGCCAAATGGTGCCATACCACCAGAGACAACAGGGCTACCCACAGCAGAACCAACAACAGTTGACATATCAGCCACCTCCTCAGCAGCAAGATAACAACATGGTAGAGATCAGGGGGATGATCCATCAACTCATTAGGACAAATGGTAAGATGCAAGAAAAGTTGGCAGTACATGATTCAGCTATAAAGAACATTGAAACTTAGTTGGGGCAGTTGTCTATGGCTTTAAACAACCGCCCCCAGGGAACATTGCCAGCGGACACAAATATTAACCCCAAGGAGCCAAACCCGAATCAGCTGATGGCAGTAAGTCTCCGAAATGGGAGAGATTTAGACAAAGAGCAGGAGGTTGCACAAGCCAGCAAAGAGACTACGCCAGTCACTCCAATTCTACTAGAGGTAGATGAACCATCAAATCTGACTGAAGTGGTGGTTGAACATGGTCAAGATGAAAAGGGTAAGGCTAAGGTAAATGAACAAGCTGCAGAGCAGGTGGTGCACCTTGTACCACAGAACACCAACAGAGAGAAGCCAACAAACAGTGCATAAAGGGTAATACCGGCACCATTCCCTCAGAGACTGGTAAAACAAAAGAAGGAAGATCAATACAAGAAATTCATGGAGATGCTGCGTCAAATTTAGTTGAATATTCCTTTTATGGATGCCTTGAGGGAGATTCCAGGTTATGCGAAGATGATGAAAGGCCTAATGTCACGGAAGTTTGATTTTCAGGACCTATCCACAGTGGCTTTGACGCAGACCTGCAGCACAGTAGTGACCAAACTGATGACTCAAAAGATGTCAGACCCAGGTAGCTTCACTATTCCATGCACGATTGGGAGTTATGCCTTTGCAAAGGCATTATGTGATTTGGGAGCCAACATAAATTTGATGCCTCTGGCTGTATACACCAAACTGGGCATTGGCAGAGCTAGACCGACTTCGATGCTACTGTAGCTGGCTGACCGCACGATAAAAAGGCCTACTGGGATTCTTGATGATGTGTTGGTGCAAGTGGAGAAGTTCGTGTTCCCTGCAGACTTTGTTATTCTGGACTATCAGGTAGATGAGGAGATACCTATCATTTTAGGTAGGCCATTTTTGGCCACTGGGAGAGCACTGATCGATTGTGAAACTGGGAATTAAAAATGAGACTGAACGATGAAGAAGTCATATTCAATGTTAAGCAATCTATGAGGAGACCCAGTGAATATGCTAATTGCTCTCTAGTGGAGGCAGTGGATGTGATTCTGCAAGAAGATGAGTGACCCTGACTGCTAAAGATCCATTGGAGGCATGTCTGACAAATTTAGAAGAGATGGATGGTGAAGGGTTAGCTGAGTGGGCCATGGAACTTGAAGGCCAAGGATTCTGGAAAAGGGACCCTCAGTTCGAGTCCCTTGAGTTAGAAAAAAGGGATACACCTATAGCAAAGCCATCAGTAGAAGAACCACCCAAGCTGGAGCTGAAGCCGCTCCCAGCTCACCTCAGGTACGTTTTCTTAGGCCCTGATTCTACATTGCCTGTTATTATATCATCTGGTTTGCTAGATGTGCAGGTAGAACAGCTCTTACAGGTACTGCAGGAAAGTAAGACTGCCATTGGCTGGACTATGGCAGACATAAAAGGTATCAGCCCAGCCTTCTGTAAGCACAAGATTCTCTTGGAAGAAGGGCACAAACCTTCCAGAGAACATCAACGAAGGCTGAACCCGAACATGAAAGAGGTAGTAAAGAAGGAAGTGATCAAATGGTTAGATGCAGGAATCATCTTGCCCATATCTGATAGCAATTGGGTTAGCCCTGTCCAATATGTGCCGAAAACGGGGGGAATGACTGTCGTGCAAAATGAGATCAATGAGTTGATCTCAACTCGCACAGTCATGGGATGGCGGATTTGAATGGATTACCGAAAATTGAATACAGCCACCCAAAAGGACCACTTCCCCTTGCCTTTCATTGACTAAATGTTTAACAGGCTGGCCGGGCGATCGCACTTCTGTTTCTTAGATGGATATTCGGGGTACAATCAGGTATCAATAGCCCCCGAAGATAGAGAGAAAGCATCCTTCACTTGTCCTTATGGCATCTTTGCCTTTCGGAGAATGCCTTTTGGGCGTTGCAATGCACCGCGACATTTCAACGGTGCATGTTAGTCATTTTCACAGACATGGTGAAGGATATTATGGAGGTCTTTATGGATGATTTCTCCGTGGTGGGAGATTCATTCGAGGACTATCTTCACAACTTAAGAAGAGTGCTCAAAAGATGTGTGGAGACAAATTTAGTGTTGAACTGGGAGAAGTGCCATTTTATGGTACAGGAAGGGATAGTCCTGGGACATCGAGTGTCCAGTAAAGGAATTGAGGTCGACCATGCTAAGGTTGACGTGATTGAAAAACTACCACCGCCCACTTCAGTCAAGGCGGCGAGAAGTTTCCTTGGGCACACCGGGTTCTATAGGCGATTCATAGAAGATTTCTCCAAAATTGTCACCCATTATGCAAACTCCTTGAAAAGGATCACCCCTTTGTGTTTTATAATGATTGCAGGTTGGCACTTGAGGAGCTGAAGAAGAGATTGGTGACTGCACCCATCATTGTTGCACCCAACTGGGAGAAACCATTTGAGCTCATATGCGACACAAGTGACTATGCCATAGGAGCAGTCTTGGTGCAGCAAAAGGGTAAACTGATGCACCCGATTTATTATGCAAGTAGAACGTTAAGCGATGCACAACTTAATTACACTGTGACAGAAAAGGAGATGTTGGCTGTTGTTTTTACATTCGACAAATTCAGGTCATACTTGATTGGCTCGAAAGTTATTATTTACACTGACCATGCAGCAATTAGGTACCTGATAGAAAAGAAGGAGTCAAAGCCACGCTTGATTCACTGGGTTCTTTTTTACAAGAATTCGATCTGGAAATACGTGACCGAAAAGGGACAGAGAACCAAGTAGCTGACCACCTCTCAAGTTTGGAAGGAGCTGAAAAGAAGGTAGAGGTTGAGGGTATAATAGAGACATTCCCAGATGAACAGTTACTGGCAATGACAATGGAGGAGGCACCATGGTATGCTGATATTGCTAATTATTTAGCAAGTGGTATTGTACCTTATGAACTCTCCTCAATTCAAAAGAAACAGTTCTTCCGTGATTGTTGGTATTATTATTCGGATGAACCTCTATTGTTTAAAATATGTGTAGATAACATGATCCGGCTGTGTATCCCCGAGAAAGATCAACATTCCGTTTAGTAGGCTTGCCATGCTTCATCATATAGTTGACACTTTGGAGGAATTCAGACAGCAGCTAAGGTGTTGGAGTCAGGCTTGTACTAGCCTACTATGTTCAAGGATGCCCATGCTTGGGTCAAATGATGCGATGATTGCCAAAGGACTGGAAACATATCTCGTAGACACTAGATGCCAATGACCACAATTCAATAGGTGGAGATTTTTGACATGTGGGGGATTGACTTCATGGGGCCATTCATCGGCTTGTATGGTAACAAGTACATATTGGTAGCAGTTGACTATGTCTCCAACTGGGTCGAAGTGGTGGCTCTCCCGACCAATGACGCTAAAAGGGTACTAGGTTTTTTGATGAAGAATATTTTCACACGTTTTGGTACCCCAAGAGCTATACTCAGTGATGGCGAAACCCATTTCTGCAATAGAGCATTCGCACGGCTGTTGGAAAAATATGGAGTTCGTCATAAAGTAACCACCTCGTACCATCCACAATCGAGCGGCCAAGTTGAAGTGTCCAATAGGGAGATTAAAAGTGTCCTCACGAAAACAGTGAATGCAACAAGGACTGACTGGGCAAAGAAATTGGATGATGCATTGTGGGCGTACCACACAGCTTTCAAAACCCCAATTGGTATATCACCGTACAAGTTGGTATTTGGCAAGGTATGCCACCTCCCAGTGGAGCTAGAGCATAAAGCACTTTGGGTATTGCGGCAGTTAAACTTAGACATGGAGATAACAGGTACTAATAGAATCACTGGGTTACATGAGCTAGAGGAATTCAGGTTCCAGGCCTTTGAGAGTACTAGATTATACAAAGAAAGGATGAAATTAATGCATGATAAGCACATCTTGGATCGAAACTTCAAACTCGGAGATCCATTGTTGTTATACAACTCGAGATTGAGATTGTTCCCAGGTAAGTTAAAGTCCCGATGGTCAGGACCCTTCAGAGTGGTGCAATTGTTCTTAAGTGGAGCTGTAGAGATTGAATCAGAAGATGGGACAAACAAGTTCACAGTAAATGGGCAAAGGTTGAGACATTACCTTGGAATGGCTGAAGAAAAAAGGGATAGAGTGGTAATCACTTTGGAAGAGCCCCAGTACGCGGACGAGGAATGATGATCAAATGCTTGCATCGTGCCGCGACGTTAAATCAGGCGCTGCGTGGGAGGCAACCCACGAATGTGTTGTTAGTGTGTTCATGTAACTTTATATATATAAAAAATAGAAAAACAGCGCTAGCACCGCAACCACGGTGGAAGGCAAACATTCTTCCTCAGATTTTTCACCTCACCGCGACCGCGATGAAGCGTGAACTTTTTGCCTCACATTTTTAAACCCACAGCAGTCGCGGTGGACCGCGGTCGACCGCAGTGGGTCCTAGGTAATTTTAATTCTTTTTTATTTTTTTCCATTTTGCTTATTTCTTTTCCTCCTCTTTTAGTTTTACAACCCAAACTCCCCCCTCTTAAACCCAACACACCCGATCCTCTCCCCCATATTTCCAATTTCTCTCTCTCTCT